TGAGATTTCCAAGCTGTTGGGTGGGGGTGGGGGGGTGCTCAGGCTGAAGGCAACTGGGAGGTGAGATCTGAGGGCAGGAAGTGACTCAGTGGTGCTCGGAGCAGGAGGGTGAAGGCTTGATGCAACACCACTCCCGAGGGTGCTCCGTGCAGGCTGGGTCCGGCCAGGTTACCCTGATGAAACACTCAGCACCTTTCTGGCAAGCTGCCTCCCGCCTCTCACCCGAAAGCAGGATCTGCTTTAACAGCAGATGGGGGATGTTGTTCCCACGGTGCCGGGTCTACAGCCGCGCTCATATGGGTTTGGGAGCAGAGCAAGGGGGCCCAGGGAGAGACAGCAGCTTGAGGAGGTGCGGAGAAAGCTGCACGGTGCCCCACGGAGCTGGCCCCCCACCGTCCCCCCGGGGAGCCTGGGCTGGCCGTGCCAGCCCTGCCCGGGGTGCGCAGTCACCCTGAGTGCATCCGCAGAAGTGGTGTCAGGAAATGTGGACTGAAAATGTTCCCAGCCTAACGCAGGGGCCGGAGCTGCTCCTCAGAGCAAGCAGCTGGTTTCCCTTTTAGGGTCGACACAGGCAGAAACAATTTCACGTGGATTCCAGGACCCATAATGGCTCTGGAAAGCTAACAGGGACAAAAAGTGTTCTCCCCTTCTGACCTTGGAGCGTGTTGAGGACCATCTTCCAAAGCTTTGTCCCCAGACGGTTTCATCCTTACATGGGGAACACTTGCCTGTCCCAGCAAGGTTGTGCTTTCTCTTCTGCATGTCTGTTTGGGTGTGAGCTGCAACTGCACGAGCTGTGCTCGGAGCAGCCCAGGGAAGATGAGAATAGGCAGGGACCTGACAGACAGTAAAAAGCAGGTCTATTCCTGTGTCCTGGAATGATTAAGTGCTTCCCTACGAATAGCCTTATGGGTTGCTCTAGGATCACTTTGTGGAGCAGCTGGTTGTGACCTGACAACAAACAACAGACTGGTGTGAAGTTACACGGGGCTATAGGTTCACTGTATGTATGAGACCTCTTGCTGAAGGAGCTCATTGTAGCAGGAATCATCTCAAAAGGCTGGTTAAAATCTTAAGTGATTGTGTGCAGCAGAAAGCCTGGCCCTGGACGGCTTGTACAGCCTCCTTTTCATAATAGGTCCCTAGTTTATAGGCACTAAAATTAATGTAATAATCTCCTGGGGCTGTTGCTAGGCCATCTGCTGCGATGCTGTGGACAATGACACTGGGGTGGTGTTAGGTGCATGTTACTCTCTAATTAGAAAGTGGACTCCGCTGCCTGTCCTTGACAAATCGCTGACCTTTCTCATATGTGAAGCTATTCTGAGCTCTGTTCCAGACTGATCAGATTTACATCCTGGAGCACTTTAAATGTTGTTTGCGAGAGGAGCTCTTGTTCCCAAAGCTGTTTGTTCATGGGCATAGGAGAGGAACTGAACTTCCTTTTCTCCATGAGCACAACTATATCTGTCAAAGGGAAAGGGTAGGCAGCTGGCAGGCATATATCTGTTGTTTATTTTTGCCCTCGGACTGCCAGAGAGGCAGCTGAGAGAAAACCCCACATGCAGCTCCACCGTCCCCATGTACGTGAGACCTGCTTCAGTAGACCTTGTCCCACAGGGACTGCAGCCATCTGGTAATGGGCAAGCAAACACTTTTTGCAACTGGAATCCCATCATTTTAGAGTAACACCTTGGTTAGTATTTGAAGGCGTTACTTACATCAGCCTAGCACACAGCTAAAGTTTACAGGGTGGTGCAGACGGCAAAGTATGAGCACATGCTAATTAGCACGCATAGTGACTGCCTATATTGTGATTTCTAAATCTGAGCTTCAATTAAAGGGGTTTTTTTAATGCATTTTAAAACTCCACCTCTTTTCTTCATGAATGGAGACAAGTTCCAGTTTCCTCGTTACAATCACAGTAAGAATTGTGGGCTTTTGTGCTATTTCTTTTATGCTGTTTCGTTCTTCCCACCTTCCTCTTCTCTATGAACCTGGTCCCTGGCAGTGCCGTGTCCCAGGGAGCGAAGATGCAGAGTTTGCTTTGGTGTTGCACAGGGCTTCCACAACCCCTGCTCAGCATTGCATGTGAGACCAGAACAAAGGGAGCAAGCAGCTTATCTAATATAAATAACCCTGAGCAAACTTCCTGGGCCTGTGCTTTTTACTGTGGAAAAGGCAGTGCAGAGTCTGCTCCTCTGTGTGCTGCTTTAGGGTCTTCCTCGGTGCAGAACTTTCAGAGGGTTTGTATGGTTTTCACTTCCTTTTCTGCAGTTGCTCTGTCGCGCAGCGCTGCGGGGCACCCACGGGTGCTGCTGGCTGGTGAGTCTGGCCCAGCTTTGGTCAGCACAAGGCTCACTGGGCATCCCGTGGGCTCGGGAGTGCCGGCAGCCCTCGGCGGGGGAGGAGGGAAGGGCTGGCACTGCCAGGAGCCTGGGTGACAAACAGCATGTGGGATTGAAATGTTCCTGTCCCGTCACTTTTTTTTGAATCTGTTTCGATCGTGATGATAGCTAAGCTGCCCCAGGGGAGCAGGGCTTGCTCTGGCTGTGCCACGGCCCCGAGCACTTGCTGTGGAGCTGGTGCTTGTGCCCCGTAGCTCTCCTGGGGTTTTCTGGCTGGCGCCGGGTCCCAAGGGTGCGCGTGGGGCTGGGGGACAGCGCACGCTCAGGGCAGCAGCACCTGCCTCTTTGAGGTGGTTTGTGGTTCAGGAGTGCGAGAGCCCCAGCAGTCCTCGGTGGGTTTGTCCTGCCCACCTCCTGCCCCTGCGCCATGGGGGAATGCTGTCCCTTGTTTGAGTTTGGGGACTGGGACTCACGGAGGGTCAGGGTCAGCAAAGCTCAGGAGGCTGAGTCCATGTCGCTGGTAAATCCCAAGGCTTGTCCGTTCAAGTTGTTTTTCCTTCCCTCCTTTTCTGATGTCCTCTGACCCCGTGTTACAGGACCACAGAGATAAAGTGTAGCCCATTGAGCAAACATGGCAGCTCCTTGCTCCAGTGGTACTGTGGCTCCCAGGGTAGGAGTGCTCATTAGAGGCCCGTTTATTACAGACACACCTTGGAAAGTTCCCTTCAACAGGGCTGGGAGGAGGAGGGTTAGTAATTTGATTTTTCACTCTTTGCCAGAGAGAAAGGTCCCATATGGCTTCGGGGAGTGAAGGCAAGTGGGGCAGCAAAGGAGGCAGCTGGTGGGTGAGAAACGGCCAGGAGCTCTGGGGGGTGCTGGGGGGCACAGGAGCCACTGCCCAGCTGGGTGAGCACCTTATGGGGTGCCCCGGGGTGGGGGGGGCCAGCCCAGGCGGGGGGGCAGAGCTGGGGCAGCAGGTCCAGCTCAGTGCCCTGGCACCCGTCCGGCTCCTCTGTACAAACCATCCCGAGCGCCTGCCCCGTCTCCAGTATCAGACTGGAAATTGCCCGGGCCACCCTGTTCCAGGGCAGCGAGTTGGGGGCTGCCGGCGGGGGCTCTGGAGGACGGCGGAGCCGTGGCCCCAGGCCCGTGCTGCTCGCAGGGGCACGCTGCAGAGCTGCAGCCGCAGCCACGCGTGCCGGCCTGCCGCGCTGGAGGGCACGGGGCGGTCAGCGGAGCCGCGGCGGCCGGGGCAGCAGCTGGGTAACCAGAGTCTGAAAAGGGACTTTGTTCCCCCTCTGTTGGTCACGTAGCCCTGTGGGAACACTAGATGTATTCACCGGCAGTCCTATCGGCACATACCAGGCTTGACAGCAGCTGGGAGCTGTGGCTTGACCAAGAATAGCCCTGGGGAGCTTGCTGCCATGAGTCAGAGCTGTCTGGATCGGCTCCTGCCCTGGAGGCTGCCTCCCGGCGTGAGGGAGGTGGGAGACGGGAGCCTGCGAGGAGGGAGGCCCAGGGGCTGGTGGTGAGCTCCTTACCCCATTAGAGGCTAAACTGTAGATTGAGCCGTAATAGCTCTTTCTGAAGTGGGTGGGTTCATGAAGAAAACTGCAGCGTGCGGCGCTTTGCAGCTGACTGCTCAGATGTAATTCCATGGGCTTGTCTACACTTGATAGCAACCTGTATTAAAGAAGGGTGTGATTTTGCAAGTGGAAAATGCCATATTTAGGAATAACCAGGTTAAACCAAACAGAAGGAAGATACTCTTGTTCTGGAGGTAGTGCTCCAAAGAAAGCGAATTAGTTCCACAAACCTCTTGTCTGAGAGAGAGACAAGGGGTGACGAGAGATGTCTGATCTCCTGCGTGCAAAACCCTGCCACCTCTATCGCTTGTAAAACACCCACTCTCCCCAACAGTTTCTCCCTGAAGAGTGTTTGTAGTTGGAGCAACATGTGCAAAACAGTTTGCTGAGATGTGGCTTCATAGCCGGGCACAGTGTGGGGTGCCTGATTTCTGCTTCCCTGTGGAGCAGCTGCTTTAAAGGTCTGGAGAAGTTTCGGAATTTGAAACGCTGACAGCCCCGTCAGGCAGAGCGTCAGCTCACAGGCCATTGGGAGGAATCTTGCTGTTGGTCCAGGGCCGTGCTGGTGGCTGAGTGTGGGTCTCTGAAGGGCCGCTTCAAGGTGGCTGGCACACTGATGGGACAGGGGATGTGTACCCACACAGCATGTGCATGGTCCCGTTTTCGGTGCCAAATCAAAACTTTTCATGCAAAAAATTCTCTCTTTTGATCATAATTTACACTTTGCTTCCCAGCAAGGAGGCAGACAGACAGTGAGAAGCTCAACTGCATGCTTCCATGTCTCGGTTACCCTCAGTGGTGCCTAAGTGCTCCAGCTGTTCAGACTCGAGTATAAACCTGAGGCAGGATTCATCCCAGGCCCCGAATGTGTGCAGGCTTCTCTGGAAGCGCGTACAGCCGCAGGGCGGGTGCGACAGCTCAGGGCTGCGTCCTGTCCTGACAGCGGCTGTTTGTTGGCTCAGTGCAGGGATTCGGGGTCCTTGCCCTCTGGAGATGGCCGGGCTGTGCAGGGACATCTCGGGCAGTGTAAGCTGACACTGACCCAGCATCTCCGCTGATCTCTCAGCAGGTGAAGGAGGCCCCCAGACTGGCACCATGACAGAGTGCTTTGACTGCGACAACTGCAAGGAGTCCTTGTATGGGCGCAAGTACATCCAGATGGACAACGGCCCGTACTGCATCCCCTGCTACGATGCCCACTTTGCCAACACCTGTGATGAGTGCAAAGAGCTGATCGGCCACGACTGCAGAGTGAGTATGGGAGCCCGCGGCCGGGCAGGGCGGCTCCCTGCGCCGATCGGTCCCCTCCTCATCCCGGCTGTCCTCCCCAGGAGCTGTACTATGAGGATCGCCACTACCACGAGCACTGCTTCCGTTGCTTCCGCTGTGACCGTTCTCTGGCCGATGAGCCCTTCACCTGCCAAGGCGAGGAGCTGCTGTGCAATGACTGCTACTGCAGCGAGTTCTCCTCCAAATGCATTGCCTGTGAGAAGACAGTCATGCCAGGTAGGACCGGGCACTCCAGCACTGCAGTTTGTTCCTGGTCCCAGCAGCGCTGGCCGGGGCTGCAGAGTCCTACCATAGGGCAGCAAGGAAGAGCTGAATTTCTGCTCTCTTGCCCTGCTGTCACTGAATAGAGTGAGTCAGGCACTTTGCTTGTCTGGCAAGACAGCAGGATCCTGAGCTACAATCACCACGGCAGCCCTGTCTGTCTGTTCCCCTTTTCATGGGGAAGTGAGCTGGGGAGGAGATAACAAAGGGTTTCCTGGGCATTTTCTGGTGTGTGCTGACAAGAAGAAAAGAAATGACTGAAGGTGTGTGAGCGTCTCTGGAGATGGCCTGAGGCAAAGGAGTGTCTTTGCTTGGCCGTTCTGGCACAGTCTTCAGATGTAGGTTACAACAGGCATCCCTGCCACGGCCTGTGTGCCGGTGCTGCGGGCATGTTCCCGCAGAGCTCCCCTTGCTGCGGTGCAGTGGGCCGGATCTCCAGCTGCCTGCAGTCCTGCACTGCCAAGGGGAGGGCAGGCCCAGGACCGCAGTTTATCCTGCGCAGCCTCCCGTGTCCCCTGTGTGTGCGGCTTCCTCCTGTCACTGTGAATGGCTCTCTCTGCAGGATCCCGTAAGCTGGAGTACAACGGACAAACCTGGCATGAGCATTGCTTCATATGCAGCAGCTGCCAGCAGCCCATCGGGTCACGATCCTTCATCCCAGACAAGAAGGATTATTACTGTGTCCCCTGTTATGAGAGCAAGTTCGCTCCTCGCTGCACTCGTTGCAAAAAGGTATGTCTGGCCTGACAGCCCAAAGCCCCTGAGTTCTCTGATCCAGGGACACGTCCCCCACGCCTGTCTGAGCCCCACCAGAGAAGGGTCCAGGATCCAGCACCCCAGGTAGCTGCTGGGCGTGAGCTGCGGCCCGTTCCCCCACCGTGTGTCACCCATGCACGCTCTCTTCCCGCAGACCCTGACCAAGGGAGGAGTGACTTACCGGGATGAGCCATGGCACAAGGAGTGTTTCGTCTGCACAGGCTGCAAGACCCCCCTGGCTGGCCAGCAGTTCACCTCCCAGGATGACAACCCGTACTGTGTCAAGTGCTTTGGGAACCTCTATGCCAAGAAGTGCAGTGCCTGCACAAAGCCCATCACAGGTGAGCGGAACAGCCCGGGTTGTGGGGCATCACCTACCTGCCCTGTTTCCAGACACGTGGTGACTTCTCTGGGTGAAGCTGCCCTCTCGAGTGCATGTGTGACCCAGGCCCATATGATGCTCATACACGTCTCCACCATGCAGGCCTGCTGAAGTGTCTCCAGGCACTTCAGGCCTCTTAGGGACAAATGCTGGGGATGCAAGGTTCCCTCGGGCACGTCCCCCACAGGAACAACTGCAGCCACTTTCCAAAGAACCCCATGAGAGAGGATCTCTTTGTTGCAGTGGTCCTAGGGCCGCTTGTGTCCCTCCGTCTGCATCTTTCAAAGTGGTGAACTGTGTCCCTTGAGAGGAAGCCCATCTGCCCAGGGGTAAAGGCTCCCAAAATGACCCCTCACAGCGTGATCTCGTGTCTCTAGCTTGCCTTGTTTGGGACTGGTTGCCACATCCTGTGGAAAGATTGCTCACAGACGGTGGAAAGCCAGAGACTTCCAGCCATCACTGGAGCAGCAACTGCTGCAGGGGAGGCTGGAGCTGTCGTACCTGCCTAAGACAGGGGAAGCAGGGGGCCCTCTTCTGCAGAAACCCTTGAGAGGGTCTGGCCTCCTTCCCGTCCTCGCCCTCTTGACCTTTCCCTTTGCAGCTCGTGTCTCTTGCTGCTGGGAAGACAGGCAAAGCTGTGAATCAGCTGGTGACTCAGGGGATGGCGCTGGCTGAGGACGGGGCAGCTCCTGGGCACCCCACTTCCTCTCTGCCCCTTATCAGCTTGTCCCAGTCCCGGGGAGAAGGGGGTCACGGCCACAGGGCCAGCCACTGCTGCAGAGGAGGAGATCTGCCTGCGGAGCCTCTGCAGAAGCCCGGGCCTTGGCCGGTGGCAGGAGGGCTCTCCCAGGGTTTCACTAGCAGTGTCCTTGGAAGGAGCTGCTCCAGGCAGCGCTGCCAGCAGCTCCCGACAGCCCCCTCGTTAGCTGTGATGGTGCAGCTCCGTTCCCTGCTCCTCCCTGGGGAGATTCTGGTCCAAGGATCTCAACCCGGCAAAATCTGGTGTGAAATCATTTTGGTGGTCTTCCCCCTCAAAAAGTGGAGATTTGTATTTCAGATGTATTCAATACAGGAGGGGTGTTTGGGTGCCACAGTGCAGCGCTGCATGTGAGGACCTGACTCGAGATGAACAGGCCAAGACTCGGTCTGTGTGGAAATCTCATCCCCGTTTCCCCAGGGGTTCTAACGCTGCGCTCTGTCCCTCCCATAGGCTTTGGCGGTGGTAAATATGTCTCCTTTGAGGACCGTCACTGGCACCATAATTGCTTTAACTGTGCCCGCTGCAACACCTCGCTGGTCGGGAAAGGCTTCATCCCCGACAATGATGAGATCCTGTGCCGCGACTGCAGCAGCGACCTATGAGCCTCCGAGGACACCGTGGGGCAGGGGCTTTCTCTATTCTTCAGGGTCTTTGTGCCAAATACCCCAACAACGTTTCAGGGGCAGGGCACAAGGCACAGGAGATGGGGGCTGACCCCGAACCACAGTGTGTTCCGGGGGTTCCTGTGCCCCTCCCTGAAGGCTAGAGTACGCTATGCTATGGCTCTGTGCAGAGTCAAAGCTAAATAAAGTTGAAAAAGGAGCTTCAAGACCCCCTATTATTTACTCTTTCCTTTTGCTTCCTGTCTGACCAGGCATGAGCTGAGCCCAGGGCCCCAGCTGAGCAAAGGGCGGCAGCAGCAGCTTCAGCCTTGGGCTGCTGGATCTGCATGCTGGCAGCATGTATCTGCTCCCCCTGGCACAGTGCTGTCTTTTCTCTTTTCCCTCCGTGCTTCCCTTGCTCTGTGTGAAATAAGGCAGCAGCTCCTGGTCCGTGTGGCTTGGCTGTGCTGGCCTGCGTAGCAGATGGCTTTGTGGCACAGCCTTTCTGTACGTGTGGCTGGCCTGCGGTGACCCGGGCGTGAAGGGCACTCTGCCCCACTTGGGAGGTTTGAGGGCACCCGGCTGGAGTGTGGCCAGGAGAAGAGCACGTGTCCTGCCAGATGGGGTCCACCTCCGGATTTCGGCAGCCACCTCACCGTTTGCAGGCCAGACCCTGTACTCTGCGCATCTCCGTGGAGGTGCTCTCGCTCAGGTGTGGATGAGGAGCTCAAATGGCTCACAGGTACGGGGCGTTCTGCCCCCACCACCCCCCTGCCCCATTCCCGTCCATCTGTGCCCTGATCTCCCATGGCTGCCTTTGCAGTGTCTGGGCTGGAGCTGGTGGGTATTAGCCCACTGGTGGACCCCCTGAGATGCGCCTGGCTGAGCCCCGGGAAGGGCATGCTGAAGGCTGAGAGCACCGAGGGTTTTATTCCTGCTCCATCCTTCTCATGGGGAACCACAGGCCGGGGACTGCCCCGCTGAGCCCAGCCGCCAGCAGCATGGGCGACACTGAAAACCTTCTGTTAGTTTGGGGAGGGGAGCGTTGCCCATAGGCAGCGGCTGCTGGGAGCACTGGAGCGGAGGCTCTGCGGGAGCTCAGGGCTCCGGCGCGGGGGGCAGCCGGGGTGTCCACGACTTGCTTCTGCCAGGGCTGTGTGTCCCCCCGCCCCACCGGGCAGGGCGCGGCGGCTCCCCGCAGCCACTCGTCCCTTGCTGCGTCCCAGACGAGAACCAAAGCAAAGGTGGCACCTGGGCTGCCCCAAGGATGGGCTTTTCATCTCCCAAGTGCCTGCATTGGCCCTAACTGTGCACACTAGGACATGTTGAGCCATCCCGGGCTCACACAAGGGCTTGAGCCATCCGTGCCCGATGGCTGAGCTGGCTCTGGGTCCCCCTAAGGCCCCTCTACAGCGGGATGCTCCTATCTGCCTTGTCTCTACATCCCTTTTGCTTCTGTCTTCCTGGGGCACGTATGCTGACCCTGCTTTCCTGCTTAGACATTCACGTGCTTTTCTGAAAGCATTTTGTGTTTGTTTGTGGTTTTTTGTTTTGTTTTTGGTTTTTTTCCTTTTGTACTCTTTCATCATGAATCTGTCATTTTGTAACCAACTGCAGGATGAAGGGGCTAGCCCCCCCTGCCCCAGGCTTCACTTAGGAACAGAAAATGTTATGCATGTTGAAGCGTTATTAACTCTGAATGCAGATACTTGTTGAACACTCGTTTGAAAGCTTTGATGCAGGCAAATCAGAGTTTGTGTGTTTGCTATTCTGAGGAGCTTGGAGCAGTCTTTAGAAGGAAGTGTCCTAAACTTCAGCCTCCTGTGTATTTCCTACAGCTTTATACAATAAACTGTTTTAGTGATGCTCGCTCTCATGTGTTTCTCAAACGGCAGGCACAGGGCAGAGTGCTGTTTGAATCGGTGTCGTGGCTCTGTCCTCGCCCCTAACCCCGTACTGGGGATGGTCGATCCCCACAGTGCTCGTGCCTCCCCCCCCCCCAAACCCCACTCCCAGCACCAGCCGTACCAGTCCTGTGGGTTATGGCAGAGGAACGGCAGCTCCCTCCTCCTGCTGTAGGCTCCTGGTGCCGGGGCTGCCTGTCTGTCCGTGCCTGCTGTCTGTCTGGGCAGGCTGTTCTGCAGGACAGGCCTGAGCAGGATGGTGCCAGTGCTGCACGATGGCTCCGGGCCGGCTGGCGGGTCGGGCTCAGCATCGGCCAGGATGCTGCGCTGCCCTGGAGCCGGCCTGGATCGCTGCGATACCGAATCGTATCCCGCTGTGCAGACAAACTTCCTTCCCCCTGCAAGACGGACTCCCCAGTCCGTACACGTAGGCTCTCAGGAGGGGGTTTGGTGGGGAAGCTGCTGCAGTCTCCAGTCAGGGGAACAGTGGTCTCCTCCTGGCAGCCTTCCCCGAAGCGGTGCATGCTCATTACTCACTTTTATCAGCTGGGGACCCATTTATCCCCCTAACATCTGAAACTATTTTCCACAGATTCCTTTACATTTACTAACAGCTGCCACGACTTCCTCTGGGCTTGCCTGCGCCAGCCCCCAGCACCCCGCTCCATCCCCCCCTGCCCGGTGGCTCAGCTGCTCCGGCAGCACGACAGGCACAGACCGCGGGGCCGTGCGGGACCACGGCACGGGCTCCTCCCAGGGCTCCTGCTCTGGCAGCTGATGGGCTTTTTCAAGTAAGGTTTTTGTTGCTGTTTCTGCCCTGTGACCTGCGCCAGGCTCTGGTTTTGCTGCTGCTTGGCCTCAAAGGGTGCGCAAGCAGCTCCAGCCCGGGAGGTTTCCAGCTGAGCCTGTCCTCCGGCAGGAGCACCACAAACCCTTGTTTCTGCAGCGCTGTTTCCAGGGATTAACCACAAAAGGTTTCTGTACAAAGGGCCCCCGGGCTCCTCTTTCAGTCAGCCTTAAGAGCCTCACGTTTTTAGCCAAAAAAGGAAATGACCCAGCTGCACGTAGCACTGGAACATCTGGATTTTATCCCTGTCATGAATGGGTCATGGCTATGCACGGCCCAGTGCCTGATTTACGGGAGGGGGAGGGTGATGTCATGCACAAACGTCCCCCGAGACTCCCAGAGTGCGGGTCTAAAACAGTCATGAAAATATTATTAAGCACAGGCGAACAGTGCAGGGGGGAGGGCAGGGCCAGGGCTGCTGCGTGGGGTGAGGTGGGAGCAGGGGAACTCACTGGGGGTCCAGGGCAGCGCCGGGGTTGTAGAAAGAGGCCCCGAAATGAACCAAATGTGCCTGAGCTGTGCTCGCCTGCACTGCCAGCACGGGCTCAGGGACTGTGTTCCCAGCCTACATGGGCAGAGCCAGGTCCAAGCCCCTGCCTGCACCAGCCCCAGTGAGATGCCCAAGGGCCCTGCCATGGGCTTGCTGGTGCAGCCACAGGGATGGGGACAGGGACAGGGACGTGATGCTCCCCAGTGCCTGGAAGCAGCCTCGTGTCACGGCCCAGGACACCAGAAGCAGCTTAGCTGAGCGATGGCGATGGCTGCTCGCTGCTGGCCGTGCAGCAGTGCCCGTGCAGGGCACGTGCCGGCCCTGCGCCTCCTCCCCTGGTGACAGACACGGCTGCTCCTGGCTCCAGCTTCACTGAGGGCATTGGTTTTACTTCTCAGGAGTTTGTTCTCTTTCCGGGCAGTTTCCCCGGGAGGAGAGCTGAGCTGCTGGTGTGTTGGGTACAGCCTGTGCGGCAGCAACACATGCCAGTGTCCCAGAGCTGATGGGAGATGCACGGCTGGGGAGCGAGCTCTGCCGGCTCCTGCCTGCGGCTGGGCAGGAGGGAAGGGCAAATTTCAGCTCCCAGCTGCCTGCTGGCGTTTGCCCCTTTTCCAGCTGTAGCTGCACAGGGCCAGGCAGCGTGTCAGATTACTGTGCCGGGAATGCCTTGTCTGAGCTCCCCACACCGAGCACGGACCTGCCTTGGCTGCCCCTGCGTCCCTCCCGGTGACTGGTCAGGAGGCTGTGCTGGTGCTGGGCAAAGCTGGAGGCTTGGGCTTGGCCCCACAGTGGTAACAGGCAGGTCCCAAGGCTGGCCGGAGAGCCAGTTTTAGCTCTCCTCTGTCTCTAGCCTTAGGAGGTAGGGATGTTGTAGCCAGGCTGAACCCTGCAGGCATCCTGTGAACACTCCTCCAGGATATTTTTGTTGTCCCTTTGTCCCCACCTGCCAGGGCAGTGCCTAGTGAAGGTCCTGGGGAGGTGGGGAAGGAGTGGTAGGTCAGCATAAGTAGGTTTGCCCCCATGGTCCCACCTTTCCTTCCAGGAAAACCGTGGGATGTCCTGGTCTGTCCCGCAGCCCTGGGCACAAAGGCTGCTGCTGCGGCACAGGGGCTGCGGTGGCTGCGCTGCTGCCCTGGGATGGATCCGCACCTCCCACAGCAACCTTCTCCCATGGGAGCAAACCTTCTCCCACCGGAGCAACCTCCTTCCACTGGTGCAAACCTTCTCTCAGGTGCGCTGCTGTTTGTGGGGTGAGGAGGAGGGAGGTCACGCAGGGGCTGGCCTTGTCCCACCTCGACCCTCCTAATGCCAGCAGCCCAAAATAAAGAGGCCATGTGGCTGGATGGGACATTGCTAGACTTCAACTCCTTACCTTTCCAGGGATGAAGTTTCATGCAAAGGGGAATGGAAGAACACTAAGTTCAGAATCTTATCTCCGTTTTTATTTTTAGACAGGCATTCATGAGGCAGAAATGACATACTTCAGGGCTGCCTGTGGTGCAAGAGAGTAATTAAAGACAATATTCTTACCTTCAGTATCATTCTTTCCTCAATGAATTGGCTGTTCCCAGGGCAGGATCATGTTTGTCTGCCGTAATTAAGCCAAATTTTTTTGATGTTGCTTTTGGCTTAAAGAAATTTATCATGCATGGTAGAAAAATTATGAATAATTTATTTGTGAATTAAAATTTAATCATACCTTTGCATTTGGCAAAGTGGGGGCAAAGCACTGGCATGATCTCTCCATGGCATTTAGGGTGGATCTGAAGAAGGCAATTAAAATCCAAGTGAAAGTGGAAGGTTGCAGCCACAGTTTCTGTGGGACAACTTCCACCAGATCGTGCCATTTGAGCATAGTCATGTTGTTGAAAGCCTGTCAGGAAACAAAAGTCTGCACTTCCCAGGTACCAAGGGCAACAGCTCTGACCCATGAGACATGAGAGACAGAGGGAGGGCTGCATACCAGATCCTACATGGTTTTCTTTCAGGCGTGTTCCAGTTTGGACTCTGATTCATGGCCGTGCAACGCTGCTGAAGCCTGACAGCTTGGCCAGCCGCTGGCATCCCACCCGTGTGGGACGGGGAGGGGGCTCGTGCTGCGGTGGGTGCACAGTGCAAGCCGCGTGCCATAGATCACCGTGCCTGGGCTATAAGCGACCGTGCTCACGAGAGCCCTCCCATCCTGCTCCCTGGGGCTCGAGGGTTTTTGCAGGAAGACAAGGTGGAAGGCAGGCTTGCAGGCGGCTCAGAGTCACTGCAGGCCTCTGCCTCGGCTCTCGGCACCCAGTGCTGCCTGGGCTGCACACCCTGTCCCCGGGCAAGCCCTGAGGAGCAGTGCTCCCCAAAAACAGGCCTGCTGGGGCCCTGATGCTGCATGCAGGCTGCCTTCTGCTTCCAAATGGGTCCAAGAACGTGCAGAGTGACTGCTTACTTAAGCAACCTCACTGTAGTTTTGATAAGGGTAATTAAAGCCATGACATTTTTTAAGTACTGCTTCCTGTTCTCTCTGTCCTTGCTGCGTATGTTCCGCAGCAACGCCGCAGCAGTGAGGAAGAGTGTGTGTGCGCTGGCAGCGTGTGGTGCAGGGCTGAAGGGCGCTGTGCAGGGTGGAGCTGCTGCGTGGCTGCGGGAGGGGGCGTTGTGTGTGTGCCCTGCACTTGCACGGTGGGTACGAGTGACTTTTGGAGGAGCTGTCTGTGGTTGTGGGGACTTCAGGCACATGCACTACTGGGCAGAATTTCTGGGATGTGCCAAGGCTGTTGCAGAGCGCACACAGCCGCATGCGTAACGCTCTGGAAAGCAGCTGTGCTAGCAGAGTTTGGAACAGCACTTTTGGGTATCTATTTAGCTTCCCCCTCCTCCATTCCCCTCTCTCCCACCTTCTGACACCAGCCCGGCCCCTTCCCACCCCTCAGGATTGCCCCGAGGCTGCTGTCTGCTGAGATGGCAACGGTTTCACAAGTGTCTCCTGCTTTTAACTTTGCCTTCTCCTCTTTGCTGTCTCTTTTCGAGAAAGGTCGTTGTGCCTCCGAGGCCGGGGTCAGTCCAATGTCAGCATCCCGGGGCAGTCAGTGCCACCAAATATGGCCAGCGCCGGGGAGAGCCGTGGGCAGGCCCGGAGGGGTTGGAAGGCAGCCACGGGGAGGGCTCCTGCCCGCAGAACCCCCCGGGCACTGCGACGAGGGACAGGCAGGACTCCCGGCAGGCAGCCAGGGCTGTGCAGCATCCCGAGCACCAGGCTTTCCCTCCTGTCCTGGCATCAACTGCCGCACACCCACCCCGGCTCTCTGCGCGGCCTGGACAGCACAGGCCCCAGCTGCTCCACATAAAACAGCGTTTTCTTGGTGACTGCTAACTGTTTGAGTATAATTTAAGCTAACGGCCTCACACAACACGACTCTCCTTCACTCTGATTTACTGGTCTAGAAGCACGAGCAGTTGCCACAGCGGTGAGCCTTCCCCCACTGACAGCCGTTTGCAGGGGCCTTGTGCGTGCAGCAGCCCCGCTCCCGCCGCGGCGGCTGCCTGCCCCTTGCCGGGGTTCCCTCTCCAGCCCCTTTTCCCTCCTGACCGCCAGACTCGTGTCCCCCCCGCAGGGAGGGCAGCTGCAGGGCCCGGCCCTGG